TTTTTTTCTTCTATTTAATTATATATCATTAAATGCATGTTTAAGAATCTAGCATTTATGTATTAGATTTAGAGATCATTATATTATTTCTTTTTTTTTCTTTTATCAAGTAAGTGTTAAGGCAACTGAGAAAAACATTTAAATTTGTCTCTCACATAAAATACACACAAATATATACATATTGCACCAAAGGGCAATTTCTGTTATCAAGATTCCCAAGTAAAAGATAGAGCAATTTATTGTTATATTTATTTGTCAGATTTACATTGTTTTTCTTCTAGAAGCACAAAGCACCAGACAGAGCACATCCACCAGTTTTCCATCATAATCACAATCTTATACAAGTAGTGAGAGATTTCGACTGATGCAAATATTCCCAGTAAACTTCCAGGGCTAAAAGTAGACTGTCATGGTTCCAACAGACAGAGAAAAATAAAGCAGAACTCCAAGGTTTGCAAATTCCTCAAAGAACATGTTTATTGATAAAAAATATTGGCACTTCAAAAGTGAAACCAAGTCTGAAGAGATGCATAACGATTCCCCAATACAAAGTTAAGAAATCCCACGCCTAAGGCTATCAAAGCAACTATGTTTCCCCATTCAACAGAGTTTTCCAAATCATAGGTAATCCTTTTGATCAAGACACAAAATAACCAAACTGGAAGTATGAAAGAATGGAAAATATGAGGTTAGGTGTTGGTTATTTAGTACAGGTGGATTACAAATGAATAGAACTTAGTAAGAGAGTACTTTAATATTCTAATATGCCCATCCTAAGTTCATTTTTTTCATGGTCTGTTTCTGTGTTCATTCTGTCCATGCTTTCTATTCTTTTTGTTTACTGTTCTCAAAATGCCACTTCCCAGATTTTATCTAACTGCATCTCCCTCCTCTGTTTCCTTGCAGCTTTGTCCTAAATGAAATATGAGGAATGAAACAATTTCTTACTTTTTGCTGCTGGAATTCTCAAAAAATCGGCACATGCAGCTTTTGCATTTCCTCTTGTTCTTTGTGTTATATCTGGCAACTGTAGCAACAAATCTTCTAATCATCTCTGCAGTAGCTTTGGATCATCAACTGCACAACCCCATGTACTTCTTTCTCATGAATTTGGCTCTGCAGGACCTGGGCATTGTTTCGGTCATTGTCCCCAAATCCATGATAAATTCTCTCATGGACACCAGACGCATCTCTTACCATGGTTGTGCTGCTCAAATCTTTCTCTTTCTCTCCTTTGAAGCTTTTGATTTCTCCCTCCTGACAGTCATGGCATATGATCGGTATGTTGCCATTTGCCATCCACTGCACTATGAGATGGTGATGAATTTGAAAGCTTGCACTGGAATAATAATTCTAGTGTGGATTATAAGTCTTCTCTATGGAATGTTGCATACAACTGGCACCTTTTCAATCCTTTTTTGTTCTAATGTTGTCAACCAGTTTTTCTGTGAAATTCCACAGTTGCTAAAACTATCCTGCTCTGGTTTCAATCTACTTGAGGTTGGAGTACTTGTGGTCAGTAGTATTGCTGTACTAGGTTGTTTTACTTTCATAGTTGTATCTTATGCTATGATCTTCAAAGCAGTGTTAAAAATCCCTTCTGAACAAGGTAGGCAAAAAGCCTTATCCACTTGTCTTCCCCACCTTATTGTTGTGTCTATGTTAGTATTAAGTTCATGCTTTGCCTATCTGAGACCTCCCTCTAACACCCCATCTTACTTAGATTTTGGGGTGACTGTTCTGTATTCCCTTCTTCCACCCCTGTTCAATCCAATCATCTATAGCATGAGAAATAGGAATATAAAATATGTTCTTTCTCAACTGTTGAGATTCTGAAAAAAAAATATTTTAATATTGTTTCTATTTTGGTCATCAAAACTTTGCATTTTCCTGGCTATTATTTTAATTTTTTGAATACAGGAATAAGTTAAAAAGGAAGACATAGCTGGGATGCAATCACATTTAACCTTTCAATCCAGAAGAATTGTAAAACTCAAGAAGTTACTCAGCAAACATTCTGTTACATTTTAAAAATGCTAAATGTGGTAATTTGCAGCCACTGGCCTTGCCACTGGCCATCAGTACTTTTGATTTTTGGTGAAGTGAGTACCAGGATGCAAATCAAGCCTAAACTTGGTTAAATGAAATGTGAACTATTTTTCCCTGTACTTTTTATATAAAATGGCTTTTCATACAATACTTTCACATAATATGACTAGTTGTTGCTTCAACGTTTCCAGAGTACTCAGAATTTTATGCTGTTCTCTCCTTAAATAGTCTTTTGCTCACACACCTTGATATTTTGTTTCTGTGTGTCAGTCTTAACTTCTTCCAACTGCCTGGAAAAGTCACTGGATTTTTCTTGACAAGGTTTTTTTAGAAGGGGTTTGCCATTGCTTCCTTCTTAGGGCTGAATGGGTGACAGGCCCAAAGTCACCAATCTACAGCAGGAGTAGATGTCAAGGTCTCGTGGTTTCTAGTGTGGTTCCTTAAATGCCACACGAAACAGGTTCTCACTTATTTTAGCTGAGGAGTATTCTTCTCTCTCTCTCTCTCTCTTAGAAGTGCTTTGGCAAAACCAGGCACTTGGTAGGATGGGTAGGATGGGTGAACTGGTACTAACTACTATAACCTTTTTTATAACCATGACAATATGAACAAGCAAGAAATCTATATCATAACTGTAATAGAATATCATATAAGCTTATAGTAACATGCAATGAAATGTCAATTGGAAGAGATAAGAAATACTCCACTGTCCAATTACTAAAGAAATGAATATATAGATGTACACCGGAATGGTATTTTATTAAAATATGCTTGAGAATTGTTTCATCCAAATTGGATAAGGTATATTAAAAGACTTATTCAGGTTTTGTGTTATCTATGCAATACCTTGTGTTATCTATCCAATACCTTTTAAAATTTATTTCATGTAATATACATAAAATGTATATTTAAATGAAGGCAGACCAAATTCTTTAAGGGTCAGTATAAGTATACTTTGGAAAGGTGCCATTAGCATACTAGAATCACCTAGATAATGTTAGTGCCTATTTTTTAAGGTACTGAGGGGTTTTCAGCTAAAGGAATATGAAATTTTCTCCTATATTTATACTTCTGTATTGAATGTTTCCTTCTTGTCTACTTGCCTTATTTGTGAAATTTCTTGCCTACATTTTACTTTACAGTTACTCAATAAAGAAACTTTATTTAAAATCTTTCAAAATTTACCAACATGTTCAGATTTTTGTGTGGCATAACTGAACAAATCCATACAGTTCAAGAATTCTTCTAAAACCAGTTCTACCTGGAGATGCCCAGGATGGTGGGAAGGGAATGAATTGTCTGAGACTTACACAGAGGACAAGAACTTTGGAGTTATGTAAAGATTCCCCACCCCCATTATTCAGCAAATACAAAGGAAAAATAAGCTGATTAGCTCAGAATGGTTTCTAACAATTTAGACTTTTTAAATATGGGAAATCAAAATATGTCAATACATTCCTCAAAATACAGTGTCTATCTGCATTGCCATTACTCTACCTGAGAATCTTATTTTGAATTTGAAAAGAGGTAGGTCAGTCAAGAAACTAATTCTACATGTTTAACTGGAATTGTATTTTATAGTCATGAAAGACTGATTGTGTTTTCTTTTCTCTCCTTTTTATACAAAAGGGAGTGAGCTTGGAGATAGTTTGATTTTTTTTAATGCTTTCCTTATTTCCTGGGTTTAAGATTTGTTTTTGTCATTGCTGCTGCATAATTTCTTCACTTTCAGGCATGATGTTAAGACATGTTTTTTTTTTTTTGTAAAATAAAAACAAGATAAATTTTCAATCCAAAATGGCAATAAGGAAGAAATGAGATTCGCTTAGAAAAACATATGATTGTTATACTTACTTGTACATGGTCTGCCCACCCAATGGGTTGTTTGGTTTTTCTTCATTTTCTGGCTATGGCTTTTATCATTTCAACCCAGCCAAAGCTGTGAAATTGCCAGATACAAAGAGAGTTTTGTCATCCTATCAATATATCTTACTATGTGTGTTTCTTACAGGTTTAATGCTTACTTAATCATTGCAAATGATCTTCACTTGACAGAAAGATACTGAAATATGAAAAAAAAAGTTTAAATCTTGATGTTCTTCCATATGGGCTGTGGATAGGTTCTTCTGGGAAATAGTACAGGGTGCAGGAGGAAAAAAATCTATAATTATCTTATTGCAGGGAACAATTTATTGAAGAAAAGAAAGATTATTTCTCAATAAAATTGAGGATATACAGTATACATTTAGTTTCTAACACATGTACTTATATAGCTCTCTTTCTAAATTTTATTTGCTGTGTATCTTGTTTTGTGAGATTTTTTTATTCGTGTCTATTACATCTACTGCATTTGTTATACTATTATTCATGTTGTATAGATCTCTGTAGGTTTACATTGTATATCTTTCTATGAACATGTTTTAGTATATATCTGAAGTTGCCTCAGGCAGCCAAATGCAGACTACAAAGGAGTGCAGCTTCAAATTGAACAACATATTAATCATCTTGCTTGTTTGGGCTGCCACCACAAATGTCAACAGTGGTTTTATTATGTATCTTATTCTATTGGTATTCCACTAAATTTCTATTGGTTTCTTTAAGATTCATATCCATCTTTCCTTTAGTTATTTTACAGAAATGCTTGAATTTTCCACCACTGTATTAATGATGTGGACTTAACTAGCCCAGCTCTTAGTTCTCCCCCCATCCATGGTTGATAGAATTGAGGATGGAATTTCTTAAAGTTGGAGGTGAAAGAGAATCCCAAGTGATGAAATTGTTCTAGAACTAGCTTCAGCCACATTCCTCTCACTTGATCCATATTTTACCTCTCATAGTTTGGACTGTTGATATGACTACAGCACCAATTCAGTTAACATCATTCTGAGACTTGGTTGTGGTGTAACAGGCGTAGGAAGACAGGGCTCCGTCTTACGCGTTTGATTTGGCCACACTGGGGACCCTAAAAAGTCATACCAAAGAGGTGACAGAGAAGGAGTGGATCCTCATTGATCGCGGGAGGGTGGCAGCCCATCCGTTTGATCCAAGGAAACCCTCCAAACTGGCGGGGAAAAGACTGGCTACATTCGAGTGGCCAGTCAGAAGCTGCTGACAACAGAAGAAAATAAGCATTAACCAGCAACTTTCAAGCAATGTGGATGGAACTGGGTGAGACCCTATCATTTCTTTATGATTTTAAGACTTTTTTCTCAGAAAAAAACACCCCAGGCAAATAATCCTCCCTGACGAAAGAGGGAAGGGGAAATTCCACCCCATTTCCTCAGCAAAAGAAAAGCAGCAAATTAATTGCTTGGGGGAAAATAGAGAAAATTGCAAGATTAATTTGGAATCAATACACATATATAACTTTGAAATTTGGGGACTAGAAGTGCTTCTGAGATGATGATGATGATTATTATTATTATTATTTAAAAAAATAGACTTAAAAAGCTTGTAATATAAGTTTGGATGTAAAAAGCTGGAAGACGGCATCAACAACATCTAGTGGTAAATTAGAGCACTACAATTTATTATGCCTAAAGGAAACTTGGCTGGAAGTCCACACTCAGATAAGACTCTTGTTGTTTTCAGAAACTTTCACTTTGGAAGACTGCAGCTGGGAAAAGGGGGAAAAAACCCTCTTGGGCTGCTTATTTGTGTGGCAGAGACAACAAACTATTTTGAAACTGGCCTGCCTGGACTACAAATATAAATACTAACTGACTTTTGGATACTTTTCCCACATGATCATTATAAAGAATGAAAGATAGTTATAATGTGCAGAAATCTAGATTAAATCTTTTTTTAAAATTTATTTATTTTTTTTTTCTTTCTAACCACCACATCGAGTGCAGTTCAAGATCAAATCTTCATCCCTGTAAAATAATTTTGAAATGAAATTAATTGAATTGGTAAACTGATCACTAATATGGAAATTAGATCAGTAAAGTAATTTCACTGTCTCTCTGGATATAAATAAAAGAAATGGATGGTAATATTTCTATTTTTTATTTTTTTAAACACATTTCAGTGTTATCACTGAAAATGTGGGTATATAGCATTCCATAGTGTTTAAAGAAATGCTGAGATGTCAGAGTTCATAGCTATAATAATTTGTTTCTCATTTTCTGGCCAAGCTCTCTTGGAGGGAATGTAAGTTTGTATTTGACAAGACATTACTTTATATAATGTGAGCTATCACTTTCCTTCTGATTGTTAGAAAAGTGGATGTATTAATTTATTCTGGTAATGAGTGATTTAATTTTAATTAAAGTATTTGTGGATAATCATGTATAATACCATCCTGTGAATATCAAGATAACAATTATGTTTTAAGTACAGTTCTATTTTTTCTGATTTTAATTGCATACCATTAAATATATGTTTAATGGAATCCAATATTTATCTATTAGGTTAAAAGCTTATTGTTCTTTTTTTCCTAAATATTTGCTAAGGTAATGAAAAAAAATATTTCTGTATGTCTGACACATCACACATCACACACGCACACAAACACACACATACACATAAAAACAAATGTACGAATTGTACAAGTGGGAACTTTCTGCTTTCAAAAATCCCAAGTAAAAGACAGAACAATTTATTTTTACATTTATTTGCTAGATTTTCATTGCAAAAGCACTATACATAGGACATTCCCCAATTTTCCAACACTTCTACTGTACAAGTAGTGAGAGATTATGATGGATCCAAATATTCCCAGTACTCTTTCATGATTGAAACTGGACCTGATCAGTGTTTTCCTAACCCTGGGCAATTTTTTGATCAGTACATGAAGAAACAAAACTGGAAGGAGGAAAGTAGGGGAAATGTATGGCTAGTGATTGGTTTTTACCTACAGATGGATAAACATTGACAGAAGTATGCTCTAATATACCCATCCTACTTATATTTCTTCCATGGTCAGATCCTCTGTGCATTCCGTCCATGGTTTCTTTCTTATTGTTTTCTGTTCTCATCACATTTCAAATGCCACATTTCAAATACCACTTCCAAACTTTTATCTAATTGGATCTCACTCTTCTTTCTTGCAGCTTTGCATGCAGCTTTGTCATAAATAAAACATGGAGATATATATATATATATAATCTTTATTGATTAGCCCTTGGGCCATATCAAAGTGCAAAGTTCCAATAACAAATCATTACCAAAGTCTAATAAAAGCAATTTAAAATAAAATTTGATAAAATACAAAACATGGATAATCAAACCACAGTGTCTTATTTTTTGCTTCTGGAAATCTCAAAAAATTGGCATTTGCAACTTTTACATTTCTTTTTGTTCTTCTTGTTATATCTGGCAACTGCAACAACAAATCTGCTCATCATCTGTGCTGTACCTTTTGACCATCAATTACATAGTGGCATGTATTTCTTTCTGATGAATTTGGCTCTGCAGGATCTGGGCAGTGTTTCAGTTATTGTCCCCAAATCCATGATAAATTCTCTCCTGGACACTAGACACATTTCTTATGTTGGTTGTGTTGCTCAAGTATTTTTCTTTATCTCCTTTCTGGATTCTAACGTATCCCTCCTGACAGTCATGGCATATGATCGCTATGTTGCCATTCGCTATCCACTGCACTATGAGAAGGTTATGAATTGGAAAGCCTGTATTGAAATATTGACCCTGGTGTGGATTACAAGTCTTCTCTATGGAATGTTGCATACGACTGGCACCTTTTCAATCCTTTTTTGTTCTAATATAGTCAACCAATTTTTCTGTGAAATTCCACAATTGCTAAAACTATCCTGCTCTGGCTTAAATTTAGTTGAGGTTGGAGTTCTTGTGGCCAGTATCATTTCAGGAACTGGTTGTTTTACTTTTATAATTGTATCTTATGCCATGATCTTCAAGACAGTGCTAAGAATCCCTTCTGAACAAGGAAGGCAAAAAGCTTTGTGCACTTGTATTCCCCACCTCATAGTAGTGTCTATGATTTTATTGACTGGATGCTTTGCCTATTTGACCCCTCACTCTAACACCCCATCATACTTAGATTTGGGGTTGACTGTTCTGTATTCCCTTCTTCCACCTCTGTTCAATTCAATTATCTATAGTATGAGAAATAAGAATATCAAACGTGTTCTTTCTAAATTGTGGAGATTCTGAAGTAAAATATTTGAATGTTGTTTTTACTCTGGTCATTATAATTTTGTAATTTCCTGACTTTTATTTTTCTGAGTAAAGGAATAAGTTAGAAAGAGAGATATAATTGAGATACAGATGAAGCTAACCTCTCAAAGCCAAAGATGGTAGAACTGAAGAAGTTGCTCAGCAATAGTCCTGTATCTCTAATTATTAACAATGTGCTTTAGAGATCCCAAATCTGGATGTTTTGGCAGTTATGTCATGCCACAGGCTGATAATTCCTGGCTTTTACTGAAGTGAGGATCAGGGTGTAATGCAATTGGGGAAAACAGTTTTAATGGAGTTTAAACAATGTAGCCAAATTTTCCCTTTCTTGTATAAAGTGTCTTCCTCTCTAATGCTTGCACATAATATGGCTAGTTAAAGCTTCAGGTTTTCCAAAAATACATCAATCTGTATAATTCTTCTGACTTTAAATGATATATATATCAATATACATATATTGATATTTTGCATCTTTGAGACAGTATGAATTCCTGGTGACTGTCTAGACAAGTCCCAGCATTTTTCTTGGCAAGGTTTTTCAGAAGTGTTTTGCCATTGCCATTGCCTTCTGAGAAAGAGAGAGAGGGGGGAGACTCATTGTCTCCATGTTTCCACTCAGATACCACTACACTAAACTAGTTTTCACATATTTTACTTCAGAATTATTTTTCTTTCCCCTAGAAGTGCTTTGGTAAGACTAGACCAGTGATGGCGAACTTTTTAGAGACTAAGTGCCCAAACTGCAACCCAAAACCCACTTATGCATCGTCTGGTGCCGGGTGGGTGTGGCCCATTGGCTGGGTGTGGCCAATTGGATAGGTGTGGCCCATTGGGTGGGCGTGGCTGCAGTGGTAATGGCAGACTGGGTGGGACTAAAAAGTTCAATCAATCAGTTCCAACTTTACAAGATCTTTTTTTTCCTGCGAGAAGTTGAAATTGACTGATCGATTGAACCTTTTTTTTTTTTTGCACACGACGACGGAGGCCTAAAGCGAAAAGGTTTTATAAAACCCAGCTGAAGGCCTAGGACTGGGGTGATGACGCGTGTGCCCACAAAGAGTGCTCCGAGTGCCGCCTCTGGCACCCATGCCATAGGTTCGCCACCACTGGACTAGACACTTGGCAGGATGGAAAAAATGGAACAGCTGTCTCACATAATCTTTTGATAATCCTAAGGAATGAAAAAGGCAAGAAGTGTAATCAGGATGAAGCATAACTATAATAGAAAATTAAATAAGCTTTCAGAAATCTCACAATGATGTAAATTGGAAGACATAAAGCATGCACTCTGGTGCAACAAGTGGAGAAGGGGCATAGTTAGAAGGCCACCAAGGATCATATCTTATTGAAATGTGATTGAGAAATATTGAGTTTCATCCAAATTACTGATAAGGTTCAGTATACCAAAGTCATATCCAGATTTTATGTTAACTCTGCCCCCATCTGCCCAATACTTTTATAAATGAATAAAAGGTGCAATATTTGCAAGTTGTTTGGGGGCTTAGTATAAGTGTGCTAGGAAAAATGCCATATCCTTATTAGGCAACATCAGTATCTTTTTTGAGGAGGCTGATGGCTAAAGGGATATAAAATATTATCCTATATTTCTAGTCCTCTATTGAATATTGCTGACTTGTATTCCTGCCTTATCTGGGAATATTTCTTGTCTACATTATAATTTGCAATTAAAAATATTATTTTTCTCTGCTTTATTTAATGAACCCTTCCACCTTGTAACTTATTTGAAGAAGTATTGCTTTCTAATGCATAAATTTTCTATTTTTTTTAAAGAAGAGACTGGACAGTTATTTGTCTTAAATGGTATAAGGGTTCCTGCCTGAGCAGGGGGTTTGGCTAGATGACCTCCAAGATCCCGTCCATCATCATCATCATCATCATCATCATCATCATCATCATCATCATCATCATCATCATCATCATCATCATCATCATCATCATTATTATTGTCCACATTTTGTTTGTTGCAGAAAGGAATGAATCCAAACCCTTCAAAAGTTTTTTCTAATTATAGTTCTATCTACAGATGTCCACATGAGCCACTGGTGTTTACTGAAGCAAGGTAGCATTCTATCAAGGATAAGATTAAATTTGTGCAAATCTTGAACATTTCCACCCCATGCCCTCAAAGGATTCTTGAAGTCTTTAAAAATCTAATAGTATTTAGAAATTTAATAGAAGAAATTACTTAAAATATTGTATTCCAGTGATGGTTTCATATTTCACACTATGATTAGTGGTTTATTGTGGAATAAGTTACAATTTGTTAAAGTCTCAGAGCTAACTCATAAACCATGGTTATAAAAACTATTAAATAGGTTCACAACAACATGTCCTCCAGACCAAAGAAACAGTATGATTTATCAAGTAGTGTAAATAAGGAAACAATTACTTATAGAGTAGCCCAAGTCACTATTATTTTTTTATATTTACTTTTTAGAAGAAATGTTAGCAGAAGAATATATGGTGATGTTTTTATTTTATTCATTTACTTACTTTTCACATTTTGAACTGCCCATCTTCGTCTGGGTAATGGTGTACAATAAAATATTAAAATATAAAAAAAAGATTTAAAAGTTAAGAATTTAGAAAGAGGCTAGGATTGGATGCTAATGAAATAAATTGAAAGATGAAGGGAGAGATTTAAGGGGACTGGCCAAAACCAGTGATGTGTGCTCCTCTGGGCTCCCCACATGAGACTACAGCACCATGCTTGACTCCTTTTGGAACGAATGTGGGGCCCTGCCTCACCTCTGGGGCAAGAATATTCCACAGGAAAGGGGCAAAAGCCAAGAAGGCTTTCTTCCTGGACCCCACCAGTTGAAGTTCTTTAACTGAAAAGCTCTGCAACATATCTTCCCTGCCTGACTGAGTGAGCTGGGCTGATGTAATGGATGAAGGTGGTTCCATAGATAGCCTGGCCCCAAGCTATATAGATCTTTATAGGTCATAACCTATAGGTCCTTGAACTGGATCTGGAAACAAACTGGCACCCAATGCAGTTAAATGTTACATGCTCTTTCTTTGGGCACCCAAAATACTCATGCAGCCCTATTCTGTGCCAGCAGAAGTTTCTGGATACTCTTCAAGGATAGCCCCATGTAGATAGACCACATTGCAATGGGAGATGACCAGGCCATGTGTGACCAGGAAAGGATGTAGCACAGCCCTCCTAAGCCATGGCTGCCACCTGCTCTTTAAGCAGGAACTGGAATTCAGTAGGACCCTTAGATTATGCAATGAGTCTGCCTGGGGTAGTGTATAAGCTCCTGAATACAGAGTGGCCCACTCACAGCCATTCCATCTTATGAGAGTTCAGTTGAAGTCTGTTGTTCCCCATCCAGAATCACATGGACACTCCGAAAGAACATCCACTGCTTAATCTACTTCCATGGGATTGAGATATATAATTGGGTATCATCTGGTGATACCTCATCTCATGGTGATGGATCATTTCACACAGTGTTTTAGTTAGATGTTAAAAAGGAGTGGAGAGAGCACCAAACTCTGTGAAACCCCACAAAGCAGGGACCATGAGCCACACCTCTCTCTCCCTATGAATATCATTTGGTAAAACCTTGGAAGAAGGAGGTGAACCAATAGAAAACTATGCCACCTACCTCTATCTAAATCAGTCACAAAGGATAGCATAATTGATTATATTGAAAACTGCCGAGAGGTCAAGAAGAACAAGGATGAATGCACCATCTCCATCCCTCTCCTATCAGGGATCATCTATGAGTATGACCAATACTGTTTCTGCCCCATATCTGGGCCTGAAACCTTACTAAAAAGGATCCAGATAATCTATTTCCTCCAGGATCTTCTGGAGTTGTAACACCACTCCCTTCTCAACCGCATTCTAGAAAACAGGGAGGTGGAAAACTAGACAAAAAATGTCCAGAATGGTGATGTCCAATGAGGGCTTCTTGAGAAAGGAGACATGCCAGCATCTCTTTAACATAGCCAGAGACACCCCTGACAACAAGGTTGAATTCATTATCACCTGGACCCACTCACATGACATCTCCAGGGTGGCCATAACCAGCCAGGGTATGCATGGATTTAATGTACAAGTGGTGTTGTTTACATTCCAAAGGACCTTGTTCACTTTCTCAGGATGATCACAATTAAATTGTTCACAGATAACTGGGTAAATCCATTCCTTAGGCATCTCCACTGGATTTTCATCACACTTGGCATCCAACTGGAAATAAATCTGATGTCTTCCAGATGCACTGTCTTCCTCTATAAAACACTGTAAATGGGCTTTCGTGCTCGGGGAAGGCTTTCAGGAACCCTTTCCCAAGGAGACTCTAAGGGTAGCTGGGCAATATTCTGATGCAATAACAGTGGAGAAGTATTGATACTTTGCCACTGTTACTACAGTGAGGTAAACCTTAATAATGGTTTAACCTCATGTTTGATCAAATTCATTGTTCATTGTTCATTTTCCCCCAGCAGCTCTCTAAGCATCTCTTGATCCTTTTCAGTTCCCTAAATTCTTTCATAAATCATGGAGAGTGCCAGGAGTATAGGCGAAAAGAGGCCTTATTTTCTGTATATTGGATTCTTAAAAATTCTTAACTGTAGGTTTTGAAGGTCTTATTGTTCTTTTGCATTATATCTGGCAGTTGCAACAGAAAACGTTTTTCATTATCTCTGCAGTAGCTTTAGATGACATTGCACAACTTTATGTATTTCTTTTTGATGAATTTGACTGTATAGGATCTCAACTCTGTTTCAATCACTGTTCACAAGGCTGTGGGAAGTTTTCTTACGGGCATGTGACACTTTTCTTACTTTGGTTGTGTTGCTCAAGGTTTTTGTTTTTTTAACATTTTCTTTACAATGCCTGATTCTTCCTCCTGTTTTTCCAAGAGTCAGTTCAGTGATCATGTGCTCAGGAAATTGGATCTAGAGACAATAAACACACCAGTGACTAATAATAATAATAATAATAATAATAATAATAATAATAATAATAATAATAATTGCAAAATGTGCTGTACTATCCATGCAACGAAGAAAAATGGCAAAAATAGAAGGAATAGAACTGGAAAATGGAAGTATTGTGAAAGCACTAGCAAAGGATGACAGTTACAAATACCTAAGCATATTGGAAGCAGATAACATCTTGAATGGAAAAGTCAAAGAGTCAACGCAAAAGGAATACATCAGGAGAGTCCGCAAAATTTTAAAATCAAAGCTGAATGCTGGAAACATAATTAAAGCCATTAATACATGGGCAGTCCCGGTGATACACTACCCAGCTGGAATTATCAACTGGACTTTGGCTAAACTGGAAAACCTAGACCGGAAAATGCATAAACTTCTGAGTATGCACCATGCTCTACATCCACGAAGTGACATCGACAGGTTGTACCTGCCAAGAAAAATAGGGGACAGAGGACTATTGCAAATCCACCAAACTATAGAAGAAGAAAAATGAAGTTTGAATGACTATGTGAATCAAAGTACAGAAACACTGCTGCAGGATATGAAAACAGAGAGCACTATAAAAATAACAGAAACAAAGGCAGAATATAAGGAAAAACGGCTGGATGACAGATTAAATAGATGGAAAACCAAAGCTTTGCATGGACAGCATTTGAAAAGCATTGAAGGAAAATGTGATAACAACTTGACATGGGCACTGCTTAAGATGGGAACCATCAAGAAAGAAACAGAAGGCCTAATACTGGCTGCTCAAGAACAAGCACTACAAACTAATGCCATGAAAGCAAAGATACAAAAATCCACTGACAATCCAAATTGCTGACTTTGCAATGACAAAGTTGAAACTGTTTCACACCTAATTTGTGAGTGCAGAAAAATCATGCAAACTGATTACAAATCTAGACATGACCGAGTTGCTAAATTAATCTACTGGGCATTGTGTAAAAAATATGACTTGCCTGTGTCCGAAAAGTCGTGGGAACATAGGGTGGAAAAAGTTGTTGAGAATGAGAGGGTGAAGATCTTGTGGGACTTTCAAATACAGACAGATCGCCATTTGGAACACAATACGCCAGATATCACAGTTGTAGAGAACCGAAGCGTACAGCTGATTGATATCGCTGTACCAGGAGATGCCAGAGTCAAAGAAAAAGAACTGGAAAAAATTACAAAATATTGTGACCTGGCCATTGAAACTGCACGATTATGGATGAAACGTGTAACAGTGGTACCCGTTGTCATCAAGGCACTGGGAACTATGTCCAAAAACTTTGCAAAATACATCAAGAAACTGCAGCTTCCTGCAAAACCTCCAGCAATGTTACAAAAAACTGCGCTACTCAGAACATCTTATATTTTAAGGATATACCTGGTTGACACCTCGGATGCTGGTAGCAACCTATGTCAACCATCAGCGCCAGCCAATTTGAATGTTCAGTTGACTGAGGTTCATGTTTAATGAATAAAAGATAAAAGAATCCCAAGTGAGGAAACTTGTTCTAGAACATGCTTCAAGCAAGTCTGCTCATTTGATCAATATTTCACATTTCACAGTTTAGACTACTGCTATGACCACAGTCCCAGTTCTGCTTACATTATTCTGAGATATTATTAGGGAATGCAATTAGTGGCCAGGAATATGCTGAGGTAACTATAGAGTTTTCAATGGCAATTATGATAATAAGCATAAAGAAGTCAGTTTTATTTTGGTGCACAAGACTCTTGAGAGAAACAAAACAGATATTAATAAGCATTCAGAATAAGAACATCTTAGACTGCAGATAGTTGTTTCACTACATGAAATTTAATGGGATAGCATTTATTTAGTGGAGAGATAGCTAACACTCTTCATATATAACAGAAGATAGAATCTACGGAGACAAATAGTAAGTTACTTATAGATTGAAAGTGTAGCAGAAAAGATCTTCTTTCCTTCTTTTCTGAAGAAAATTGGGGTTTATTAAAATATATCTGATTAGATATCTTTATAAATTTTGGCTTTATAATTTTTTCATTGGGAAGAGAATTAAATTAAATGATTGCATAAGGCATTGTTCTGACATAATTTGAAATAATCTAGACTCTTTGGGAGTGGCAACATTTTTTAAAATAATTTTTCAAAAATTTGGATATATAAATTATTATGAATCACAACCCAATCTGAAGAGATTTCTATATAGATAAGGTATCAATATACCTTTTAAGCTATAATTTGCAGAAATTTAGACCACACCTTCATAAACGTAAAAAAATATTGAAATGAAATTAATTGAGTGGGTGAACTGATTGATAATAGGAAAGCAACTGCAAAGTCATTTCACAATCTCCATGGATATAAATAAAGGAAAGGGATAGTAACATTTCTAAATGTCTTTTTTATTTTTTATATTTAAATGTATAAATATTATTGTTGGAAATATAGGTTCACATTTGAAGAAATTTTAATATGTCTGAGTTCATAGCTGTAATAGAGTGTGTGGCCAAACTCTCCTGGAGAGAATATAGATGTGTATTGGATGAGAGACTGCTTTTTCAAATTGAGCTTTTATTTTTGTCTAATTGTTGGGCAGTGGGATTTATTAATTTATTCTGCTAATATCCGATTTATTTTGATTAAATGAATTTTAAAGTGGGATAATTGTGTTTAATACCACCAAGCAAATATCAAATAGTTAATTTGTAAGTAAAGTTCTATTTTTCTTTTTAAAACAATATACTATTAAATACATATTTGGAATTTAGTATTTATGTATTAGTTTAAAGGCTATTTATTCTATTTTTTAAGCCTAAATGCTGCTAGAGCAACTGAGAAAAATACATTTTCATCTGTATTTCATATAACATACACAGAGGCACACACATTATACAAGGGGGCAAATTCTGCCCTTAAGATTTCCAATAAAAGGCATTGCATATTTTAATATTTATTTGCTAGATATTTCTACATTTCCTCTATAAGTACAAAACACACACATATCTAGCCCATTCTCCAGTTTTCCAACACTTTCACATTCCTGTACAAGTGGTGAGAAATTGTGACTGGTTCAAATAGTCTTAGTAATCTTCAATGGTTTTCCTAATTCTAAGCAATCCTATTGATAAGTACATGAAATTAGAACTGGAAGAAGGATCAAGGGAAAAATGTAAGGTAGTTGATTGTTTCTTCAGAAGAGATGAATAGAAATTAAAAAGTGTATGCCCTAATACTATATATGCCGATCCTATATCTATTTTCCCCATGCTCTGTTCCTCTATTTATCCTCTATTCATTTTATTCATGCTTTACTTTTACTTTTGTTTTCTGATCTCAACACATATCAAAATGCTACTTCCCAAATTTTATCTAATTGCATCTTCTCTGCTTCCTTGCAGTTATGCCATAAAGTTTTGTTATGAAGGAAACATGAACAATCAAACTACAATGCCTTATTTTCTGCTTTTGGAATTCTCAGTAACTCGGCAACTGCAACTGCTACATTTCTTTTTCTTTTTTGTGTTATACTTGGCAATTACAACAGCAAACCTTCTTATCATCTGTGCAGTAACTTTTAACCAGCAATTGCACAGACCCATGTATTTTTTTCTGATGAATTTGGCTCTGCAAGATATAGGCTCTGTTTCTGTCATTGTTCCCAAATCCATGGTGAATTCCCTCATAGATACCAGACACATTTCTTACTTTGGTTGTGTTGCTCAAGTCTTTCTCTTTGCCTTCTTTGTGGGTTCTAATGTATCCCTCCTAACAGTCATGGCATATGATAGGTATGTTGCCATTTGCCATCCACTGCACTACGAGAGGATTATGAATTGGAAAGCCTGCACTGAAATGATGATTCTGGTATGGGCTGCTAATCTTGTCTATGGAACGTTGCATACTACTGGCATTTTTTCAGTCCATTTTTGTTCTAATGTTGTTAATCAATTTTGCTGTGAAATTCCACAGTTGCTAAAGCTATCCTGCTCTGGAGTCAATCGAGTTGAAGTTGGAATTATTTTGATCAGTGCCATTGTAGGAATAGGTTGTTTTACTTTTATAATTGTATCTTATGCCATGATCTTCAATGCAGTGCAAAGAATCCCTTCGGAACAAGGAAGACAAAAAGCCTTATCAACTTGTATTCCTCACCTTATAGTAGTATCTATATTTTTATTAACAGGATTCTTTGCCTACCTGAGACCTCCCTCTAACACCAATTCTTACCTAGATTTTGCATTGACTGTTCTGTATTCCATTCTTCCACCTCTGTTCAATCCTATAATCTATAGCATGAGGAATAAGAATATCAAATTTGTTCTTTCTAAACTGTGCAGATTTTGAAAATTTTGTTTAATGTTGTTTCTATTATTTTCACCAAAATTTTCCATTTTTCTTTTCCTTCTATGAATAAAGGAATAAGCTAAAATGGGACACATGGTTAGGATAGAGGCGAATCCCACCTCTCAATTAAGAAGAATGGTAGAACCTGAAAGTTGCTCAACAAAAATCCTACATCTTTATTTACTATCAATGCATTTTATAGATGCTAAATGTGGATATTTGGCAGCTCTGGTATGGCATAGCCTGACAACTCCTGTTCTTTAGTGAAGTAAGCATCATGGTATAAGGTGATTGTGGAAATCAATTTTGATTGCAGGAAGGTTTAAATGATGCCATTTATTTTCTCCTGTGCTTTTCTATAAAAATGGTTTTCCCTTTTTTAATCAGTGCATCAGTTTTATCGATGTGTCCTACATCATGATTTTGAAGACAGTGTAGATAATATGGTATCCTGGTACTCTCTGAGCTTGGTGATTTTTGTACAGACATTTCATTACCAAACTTAAGTAACATTATCAGTGCAGTGATGATATTACCTAGTTAGGTAATTAAATATCTACAGTACAAGAAAACCACCAAGCTCAGAGAATACCAGACTGCACAGTTCAATGCTGAACTACAACTTTCCCATCAGTGTGGAAAATACCTTCTTGGCAAGGAAAGCAGAATTCCTTTTCCATGCATGTTCTCTGTCTTACTGATATTACCATATTTTACTTAACTACATAGCTGGCTTATCTGAGAACCTCCTTTAATATTCAATCTTATTTTGATTAACACTAACATTCCTATATTCATTTATTCCACTCTTGCTCAATCGAATCATCTATAACATAAAAAATAGGAATGTGGTATATGTGGAAATGTGACTTCTGTATCTGTAAATATATCATCTTGCATATTTAAAAAAATGAAATAAAATTTGAAAATCTGGACTGATTCTTTTATTACAAGTGAATTTTGGTGAATTTATTCCCTCAAAGAATAAAATATTTGAGAGAATTGCATTAGGGTCATTCAATGTCAAGTGGTCTGGGGGTCCCTGCTCGACCATCACGGATTTTGATGAAATTTTGTGTGAACATGCACACATGTCCCCAATGAACATTGGTAAAGTGTTACATTTGCCGATGCAATACTTGCGGAGATAGTCATTTGTTTGACCCCATACCGCAGCCTTCTACAGTATGACTCTGAGATTCCAGCAACTTTGAGACATAATATCTCTGGCAATATTTTGTTGAGAGAAACAAAACTTGGCCATCTTGTACAACTTTTTGTGCTCTATTAAACAAAATAATAAACACATTCTCATGAGCAATCTCCATCTAGATAATTTGGAGCAAAGTTGGCCAAAAATATTGTGGCTCAAAAAAAAGTTTAAAGTTTGGCTTTTTATATCTCTGGAAAGAAAGGTATGATAAACGTGAAACTTTGCGTGTAATAACTTAGCAACACAAGGTTTTCAAATATAAAATTTCATTCTCCTACTGCTTTCCAATAGTTTACAAACTGAGTGTAAATTTGATGTTTTTTTGTAAAAACACCAAAATATAGTATTTTCAGTCTGCTTTTACAAAAAAAGACCTTCTGGAAACTCTGTTAAATCATTCTCATTAGAAAGAGCATATTTCAACCTCCCTAAAAAAGTAGGATTGGTTTTTCATTGCTGACATATAAAGCCCTAAAAATAGGGACAAAGTTGGGGACATTGCCATGGCAATGTCACATGTATTCTATTATTTTTTGTCTTGTTTGTTTTATATAGACATCATTACTACTATTATATTGCATTGGTCCATGGTGACATTGTCATTACCAGTTCAGGCACCTGAACCAGCAACCCCCCTATCTTAGCATATCTTTTTGTAATGGCTGTCTCATATTTCCTTCAAAACTATGTCTGTATTCTTCTACATCATAATAGAGGGAGAAATTAACAAAATGATTTGCACCAGTTTATTTATTTCTTCATCTATTGAATTTGTTTGAAAGTTCTTAAAGATAATAGAATTTGAATTCAAGCAATACATAAATTAGAAAAAATAAAACTTTTCTCAAAAAATTGCATTAAATCAAGAAAGAAAACTGGAATAGATTTATCAATTATAAATTATCAATTTATCTGGAGACAAGGCTGAATATTCATTTATCTATCCTATGTAACTAATATATATTGAAGGAAGTTGGATTGGAAAATGAGTATAGTTTTAAACCTGGAGGAAGAAATATAAATAATCTGTGCCATGCTGATAACATATTTACAATTTGCAAAATATACATCTCAAACAACCATACATAAAATAGAATATTGAAAAGAAATTTCCTGGATAAACTGATTCCTAATAGGTAAATTAGCCTCACCAAAATGATTTTGTTATCCTTTAGACATAAAATATAATTTATACTGACAATCTGAAACTATTGTTTTTGATCAAAGAAAGCATTTTAAAACTTAGCTAGAAATATATATGTAAATATATACCCCCAAAAATGTGGAAAAACTGAGGAACTCATATTGCAAAGCATCATAAACCTGTTTCATGCATCTGTATATAATGACAATTGAATCTGTACGGATATGAATAAAACAATGGATGGTAACATTTCAAAGTGTATTTTTTAATCTTTGTTTTTAAACATTTAAGTATTATGGTTGAGAATGTGTGTCTACATTGTTGAAAGAAATGAAAGGAGATTTGCAGTGCTATGACAGGTCTATATTCCTTTCATATATAAATATGAGGGTTTTGTGCCTCTATAACATGAGTGACACTTGTATCACAATATAATATACTGTAAGGCCTTTTTCAATGTGATCATCCTTGCCCCCACCTATAGACACTGCTGCCTTTGTTTCTGTCTGTTTAGCGAAGTATATGTATCCTATACTTCCCAGTATATACTCTGCCTTCCCAAATGGGATGCTCAATTTTTCTTTTCTTTTTCTTCCAGTTATTTTTCCCTTCATCCCAGTCAAAGCTGCCAGATACATAGAAAGGTTTGGTCATCCTACAATCTTCCTGTAAGGATCTTCTTATTCTTGTGCATAGTTCTTAAATATTTCATCATTACTTTGTAATTATTGTAAATGTTCATTACTTGAATAAAAGATGCCAGAATATGAAATGAAATTATGAAATCTTTTGTTTTGCTGTAAGAGTTGTAGATGGATTCTTCTGAGGAAGTTGTATAGGCCACAGGAAAAAAATATTTGAGGGACATGAGTGCTTCAGAAATGTGAAATATAAATAAATACAATCAATAAATTTAACTCTATCATTGTCTTACTGCAGGGTTAGAGTTAGGATTAGGATTATTTTCCAAGAAATTTGAGGATATATAGACTTATTTTTTACAACACATATTTATATAAATTTCACTATAAATCTTATTCAGTCGGTTTCTTCTTCTGTGAGTTTCTTATAAATTTCTATGGATTTATACTGAATTACTTATTGTATTATAGATATTCTGGTTTTCTGTGGGATTATATTCTACCTCTTTCTATGAGTTTCAGGTATGTATCTTAAATATTCTCAGGCAGTCAAATGCAGCCCACAAGTGGGTGCAGCCTGCAATACAATAGTGCAATAATCATCTTGCTTTTTTGGATTACCAACATAAGTGTCACTGGTTTCAATGGTTTTATTGTCTAGCTTATTCTATTGGCATCCCCACCAGGATTAGGATTAGATCTCTGTTGCTTTTTCTCTCCCAATCATGGTATACAGAAGAGAAGATGGCCATTCTTAAAAGCTAGAGGTGCAAGAAAATCCCAAGTGATAAAAGATGCTTCAGCCAGGGCTCGTCCCTTGATCCAAGTTTCAGCTCTCATGGTTTTGACTGCTGGTATGACTTCAGCACCAATTCTGCTAACATCATTCTGAGATATTATTATGCAATGTGATAACTGGTACTGAGGCATTCAGAAGTAATTACAGAGTTGTTAATACCCAATTATATTAATAAGCACACAAAAGTCAGGGTTTTTTTGTGCAATACTCTTGAGGGAAACAGAACATATATTAATAAACACTCAAAACAGAAACCTCTCGCTGCAAATACTTGTTTCATTACATGTAAATTACTGAGGCAGCAATTATTTTGTGGAGATATATTTACCAATCTTGAAAGCATATAACAGAAAACAAAATCTCTTAAAATTGAAAGTTTAATATGCTGACATATCTCTGGGTTGCCTTTATAAATTTTCCACTGGGTCAAGAATTTAATCAATGGCTTCCCTACTGTCATATCCTGATATAGTGGAATAAAAAACCCAGGCTATTTTGGGAAGGACAATAAAATGATTTATTAATATTATTTTCCAGAAATTTGAACCTCAGACAGTGGATTTAAAGGGATTGTCAATCAGAATCCAGTTTGGTGAGATTCCACAGTATGGAATGAATCAATGTTTATTAATATATTCAAATCTGCAGAAACGTAGATCAAACCTTGATGCAAGTAAAAGAATTTTGAAATGAAATTAGTTAAGTGGGAGAAATGACCACTAACAGGTAAGTTAATACCATTGAAATAATTTTAAATCTCTCTGCCTTTGAATAAAATAATGGATGGCAATATTTCTCAACATATTTTTTATCTTTTGTTTTTTTAAACTTGTTGGACAAGGGAATACATTAATTTATTCTGATAATTTGGGATTTTTTTATTAGAAATATTCTACAGTGGGATAATGAAGCATAATATCACCCAATGGATATCAAGATACCAATTCTGTTGTAAATAAAGTTTCAACTTCTTTTAATTATATACCATAAAATACCTTTTTAGGAATCTAGAATTTATATCCTAGTTTAAAATCTTATTCTGATATTTTTCTTAATTCCATGCTAGGGCAGACAAGAAAAAAAACTTTTTTCCCCTCAAATAAGCACACACAGAGAAAGACACAGACAGAAACACAAATGCAATCACAAACACAAACACACAAAATAAGGTGGCCTTTTCTACCCTCAAAATTTCCAAGTAAA